ATTGTATTTATGCCATGTATTAGGGCCCCTAGCATTGTCCCTGTTTTTTCTTCCGTGGTCATTATTGTTTTAGGTTTTATATTTAGGTCTTTGATCCATTTTGAGTTAGTTTTTGTGTATGGTGTGAGGTATGGGTCTTCTTTCATTTTTTTTACAGAGGGACAACCAGTTTTGCCAGCACCATTTGTTGTAAAGACTGTCTTTTCTGCATTTAATGAACTTTGGTCCTTTGTCAAAGATCAGCTGGCCGTAGGTAGATGGAGTTATATCTGAGTTCTCAGTTCTGTCCCATTTGTCAATGTGTCTGTCGTTGTACCAGGCTGTTTTGACTGACATAGCTCTGTAGTAGGTTCTGATATCAGGGAGTGTGAGGTCCCTTACTTTGTTCTTCTTCAATAATGCTTTGCTTATCAGGGACCTCTTTCCTTTCCCTGTAAAGTTGGTGATTAGTTTTTCCATCTCATTAAGGAATGCTGTTGGTATTTGGATCAGGATTGCATTATATCAGTAGATTGCTTTGGGTACAATTGACATTTCCACAATGTTGAGTCTTCCTGTCCATGAGCCTGGTATGTTCTTCCGTTTATGTAGGTCTCTTTTGGTTTCTTGCAGTAATGTTTTGTAGTGTCCTTTGTATAGGTCTTTTACATCCCTGGTTAGATTTATTCCTTAGTATTTTATCTTCTTAGGAAGTATTATAAATGGTACTGTTTTCCTGATTTCCTTTTCAAAGTTCTCTTTGTTGGTGTATAGGAATCCAACTGATTTTTTGTACATTGATCTTGTATTCCACTCTGCTGAATCTTTCCATTAGTTCAGTAGTTTTCTTGTGGAATTTTTGATCTTCTCTATGTATAGTATATCATCTGCAGATAGGGATGATTTAACTTCTTTTCCAATTTGGATGCCCTTTATTTCTTTTTCTTGCCTTATTGCTGTAGCTAGGACTTCCAGCACGATGTTAAATAAGAGTGGTGATAAGGGGCATCCTTGTCTTGTTCCTATTCTCAGGGGGCCAGTAATTTTTTTAAGAATCGTAAAATACTTATACTTGTTTTAATAGATTAAATGATACCATTTTGAAGGTTGTCTCTGAATGAATTCATTAGTTATGTATATATTTTTGCACTTAGATGAGAAGTTTCCATACAGTTGAGACCAGTCATTCCATAGTGTTATCAAATTTTAGAACCTGAAGTCTGAGATACACTGTAATCCATCCTACTTATTGTGAGGAAACTGAGGCCTAGTGAGGGTAAGTGTCTTGAAGTGCACAGGTGAAGTGATAATGCTTTCTACTGATGACTCGTTCATTGGTGGGTTTGTTTTCCTCTTTGTGCTGCACAGCACTGTTCCCCAGGTTATTTATAGTTCCCAGCTATTTCAAACTCTCCAGTCACAAGTCATCTAGGGTGGTTAAACTGAAGCAGCCAAGTGCTCAATGCAAATAAGCAAGCTTAAAAGTTCAATATGGGGACTGTTTAATTATATGTAAATAAAAGGTCATGCCTAAACTCAGATTGGCTTACAGAGGGGGAAAGGAGTAACCACAGCCTGGTTCCTAGTGATTTTAACCATAGATTATTAATCTGTCCAGGAGTTTGGGTCAACGGTACACTATAGGACCCTTTGCCGTTGAGTTGATTCCGACTCAGAGACCACAGTAGTTAAGAGCCTGGTTGCTAATCAAAAGGTTTGCGGTTCCAATCCACCAGCCGCTCCTTGGAAACCAAATGGGGCAGTTCTGTTCTATAATATAGGGTGGCTATGAGTTGGAATCAACTCCAGGGCAGTGGATTTGGTTTTGTTTTTGTTTTTATACCTTATAGGAGATTCTGTCTTACAAAGAGAGGTTTTGTTTACACTATTATGACAAAGCAATTTTGGATGTTTTCTGATTAACCTGTATTTATCAGATTATGTTTTGGAGTTTTCTGATGGCCCAATAAGTAATACCCATTTTTCTAGCCCATGTTCAGAGCCAATTGAGATATAGGAAAAGGGGATCAGGAAAATGAATACCAAACTGTCAATTTGATTATAGATAATGTAATTAATTGGAAAATATGGTTAGATATTCCTCCACTGTAAGACTACACCCTAGAATTTCAGGCTTTCTGAAGTGAATGTAGAGCTAGAGGTGAGCATAGAGCTAGACCATCAGGTGGTGGCCAGACCTGTAAGATTAATAGCGTAGAGGTTCAGAGCTGAATGTCCACTTCCTGCAGGCTGCTGACTCCCCAGGTAAACAGAGAAGGGGCTGAGCTGTGAACCAGCTCCTGCTCCTGAATCTGTTGGTGATTCCCTCTTCTTCCCGTAGGGAGGGACAAGTGAGCAAATGGAGTTCAGGAGTGTTACTCTAAAGAGAGCACCTTCTCTTTAGATAGAAAGAAATATTAAACTCATGGCTGTTATTTTATTTTTTAAATAATACTGTGTTTTAGGTGAAAGTTCATACAACAGATTAGGTTCCCATTTAACAATTTCTATAAAAATTATTCCGCGACATTGGTGACAGTTTTCACAGTGCGTCAGCGTTCTCATTTATTTCCATTCTGTTTGTTCTGTTTCCATTGGTCTAGCTTCCCTTCCCCTCCTTGCCTTCTCATCTTTGCTTTTGGGTCTAGCTTCCCTTCCCCTCCTTGCCTTCTCATCTTTGCTTTTGGGTGAACGTTGACTTGTGGCTGTTATTCTCATGAGGCTCATCGTGTAGTCGTTAAAAGACATAATATCTTGAAGAGGCGAGGATCCACTCAAGCCCATCTTGAAGGGGGGAAGAGGTTATTTATACCAGTCCGGTAAAATTTTAGATGTTTCTTTCCTTTTGAAAAGAAACTTTAAAAAAGAAAATATAAAAAATCTTTGAGGGTCTATCTGTCTGATACACAGTGATACTCAAACATATATATTCTGAAAATCAAAAATGTATAGAATTTTTAGGCAGAAAATACATTTTGTTTGATTATAAGTTTAGAAGTTGAAATGGTTAGTTTTGGGGGTTTCTGTCATACCTCTACAATCTTGTTGAAGTGGAGGGAAAACTAAACTGTCCCACAACTTCACTGTCAGATTTTTTGTGTATCTTTACACTGAAGTACTTTTAAAGCTATACTACTCTGTGCTCCGGTCTCTGGTCTAGAAATTTATTTCCTAACAGAAGTACATACAATGAATCATAACCCGTATAACAAATACTTACAAATGCAGCCACAAGTGCCAAACAGAGGAGTATGATCAGTATGACAGGAACATGCAGGAGTATCTGACCACCCAAGGAGAACTGAGGGAGTCTTCACAGAGACCAGCATTTGAGATGCTCTCGAAGGATGAGCAGATGGTCTCCCGGAATGGAAAGGAGAAGACATTCCAGGCTGAAAGAAAAGCTTGTTATTACAGTGTAGTCACGGGAAGGCCCGTCTCAGCGTTCCTGTAGTACATAGTGTAGTCATGGAAAGGCCCGTCTCGGCGTTCGTGTAGTACATAGTGTAGTCACGGGAAGGCCTGTGTCTCAGCGTTCGTGT